CAGGCTTTGCTGGCTGGGAAGCACTGGTATGAAAGCTGTGCTGAGCACACTCGTCCTGCACGGTCACTGCCCCCCTTGAGGGAATGGAAACCGCAGCAGGGTTTTATGACAGCATTAAACTCAATGTTCCCAGCACCTCTGGTAGCACAGGACCTGCTCAGAAGGGTTATTTCAGCCTGAAGGGCAGATTTACCAGAAAAAATCCAAATGGAGGAGCAGCCACAGGGCTGCTTGCACACCTTCTGCCAAGAAATGTTGGGGCCTCCAGCACGACAGGGGCAACAACTTGTTTCTTCCTCTCTCCTTTCTTTTTCCTAGTAAATGAAAAATAATAATAATGGTAGTAAACTCCCCTTGGCTTTATCCTCCCCCACCAGAGCAGATGCAATTAGCAGCTTCCCTGAGTGGCAGAGGCATGACTTACTCCCAGGATGGGATGCATTAAGATGTAGGGCAGTAGGAAGTTTCCATCTGCCCCCCAACCAAATTCCCCTCCCCAGTCATTCCCACTGCTGAGGCTCAGACAAGCTTTCCTGCTTCGATTCTTCCTTAACAGGTTTGGGAGGCACAGCCCATGGTTTGGTTAAAGCAGCCCCAAAGACACATTCACCTGCAGGAGCTCACACCAGACTCCTTTCTTCATGCAAAGTGGATGCTATCACCCATCCGTGGGATGCTCTCCAAGTCCAAGCATCCCCCAAAACCATGACAGTGCTCACTAGCTGGGCACAAGCTGCTTCACAACCTGAGTTGGCAGCTGCTGATAGCCAAAGTGTCCCAAAATATCCCAGACCTAGAGCGAATTCCCACGATACTGGTGGTCAGCTGAAACCTTAACGGGTCCTATAAGGGCCAGGCCCCAGCATGGGATGTGGCCGCAGCCTCGGGGCATCCAAAGTACCCAGCTACAGCCATCCCGCCCCGGCACCATGCCCCATAGGAGGGGCAGCTATCAGCCCTCTCAGAGGACCCTGAAACACCCACATATGGTCCTCCTGCTGCTCTCCGATGGGTTTTCACACCAATTCCCGGAGACGAGCTCCCAGTGAGGGCCACTGCACCTGCACGGAGGCCAGGGAGGAAAGGCAACAATGCTCCATGACGCTCACGTCAAGCCCTCCACATCCCGCGATTTCTATTTGATTCCCTTTTAAAGGGGCTGTAACGCAGCGCGTATTTATACTTCAGAACAGCTTGTTTGTGTAATTGCCAAAAAAATTTAAAAAAAAAAAGACACAAAACAACCCTGCTACAATGACTAATTAGCTCGCTCCTGCCTCGTACCCTGTAAACAAATGTATTTGTAACCAATTTGCAAGCACTTTGCATAAGGGGCCCAGAACACTCATGCCTGTTTGATGCATTTTGACATTAATTTGATAATAGCGGCTTAACAAGGAATCCAGGCTCCCTAGCTATAAATATGCTGCTTTTCCACTTCCTTTTATCTGCACAGTGAAATAATGTTGTTTTTCCCCCTGCTGCAATAACCACCATCCAACCCTTTCATGAATGCCCTTTATGTCCTTTAGCATTTTCAAGGCTTTTCTTTTTTTTTCCTCCTCCTGGAGAAAGTAAAAGGGTTTTATTAGTTGTATTTTTAATTCCTGTTCATCAGGGGAAGGAGAAGAGAGGAGAGGACAGTGATGGTGCTCTGATAATGCAGCTTCCAGGAGACAAGGATGAGAGACTTGTTTGTTCAGAAATATTTCTCCATCCATTTGTGCTTCATAGGAGAGAGAAAGCTCATCCTTTTCCTCCTCTTCTCCACTCACTGTGGCTCTACCTCTCCACACAAGCCTTCACCAACACACCAGAAAGAAAATTCAAGCACAGTGAAATGGGAACAGGACACTGGAGTCCACTCTGATGCCAACCAGAAAGCCACCACAGGCCCCAGCCCCAAAGGGTGGCACTACTGGACCACCCCAGTCCAAATCTCTGCTTGCTGGGACAGTCCACCCCACCACAAGAACAATCACGTGTCCCACAGGGATGGCACAAAAAGGGCTGAATCACTGTTTCTCCTCTTCTGGTCCCTCCCAAGACCTTCCACCTATGGCCGTGGTCAGAACCTCGCTCACACACAGGTTCTCACTCACACACGCGTCCTCCACCTCTGCCTCGCCTGTCAGCCCCCGCGGAGAGGCTATAGCTGGGGTCTGGGAAGTAACAAGCACAAACTTAGCACCTCAGAAATTGTCAGCTGCATCCTGCTGCCACAGATGAAGCCTCTGGGAGATGAAGCAGTTTGGCCTCTCTTGTCTGTCTCCACCTTGGAGCCAGTGATGCACAGGCTGCTCCCAAACGGACCCAGGGGGTGAGAAGCCGCACTCAGAGCGCACACCTGGAGGACCTCTGTCCTCCTGCCATCCCAGGCCTAGAGACCTCCCAGCCAAGGTCCCAGCAGATGTAAGATCAAGCGTCTGCTGCTGTAGGCTGAGACCGAGGGTCTGGGAGGTGTTTTAGCCAGCACCCTGCAGACCTACTCCCTCTGAGGTGCTCTCACCCAAGATGCATCAAATGCTGAAGAGCAGCTGATGGGCAATAAGAACTCTGAAAAATAGATCAGGGGGACCAGCCCAGAGAGCAGCATTAGTGCTCATCCACACTTCCCATTCTGACCTGCAGTGCTCAGGTATCCAGTAGCAAGAGACTCTGTAAAGGCCGAAGAAGACCCAATCTCCAGGCAGAAGAGAACTGGATCATGTTCATTTAAACATCCCCCCCCCCCCCAATAGATGCTTCACCTCTGCCTCCTCGCTGAATCTCCAGGACTTCGTCACACCCTAAGTGCACCAGTCCCCCATGCTGACCCCCCTCTGCCTGACACATGCAGGCTGCAGAGCTGCAGCATCAGTGGTCACCTCCTGCTTTCCCAGCAGGCTGGTACTTGCTGCCCAGCAAGCCCAGTTAAACCAGCAAAAATCCAGTTGGGCAGAAAATGGAGGCAGAGAGGTGGAGAAGGGAGCAGGGGACCGCCACTACCCCACTTCGGCAGGCAGGGGAAATCATTAATGACCCAGACCTGCACATACAAGGTCTCCTTTCCCCTTCACATGACAAGCAAAGGCAGGCACAGCCTTGTTCTCCACCAGCAGGTCCCACCCTACCCTCTTCATACAGCTGGGTCTGGAGGACGAGGATCTGGGAACTGCTTTCTGCACATCCACATGCTGCCACAAGCCCAAAGGTCACTGTCAGCCTTGGGGCTATCGAGCAGCTCTAGAGGTGCAGGGCTCCAGCCCATCCCCATCGGGAGACAGGCAGGAGAGAGGAAACCCACAGGGCAAGCCAGTAGCCTTCCTAGTTTTATTTTTTCTTCTCTTTAAACTCTCCCTGACCCCCTCTCACAGAGATCAATACTATTTACCCAAATAATGGCTGTATAGGTGAGGGCAAAATGAGAAACACACCTAATCATCCAAGCGGTTGCAGGAGATCTCTCCCTCTGCCAAACTGAGCTCTTCACGCTCGGCCTTTTCACACCTCCGCTCCAGTTCCCCCTCCTAGAAACCGAGTCATGTTCCTCCTTGCCAACATATAAGCTGGCAGAGGTCACAAGGATCAGTATCAAATGGGAAGAGGGTTGCTCTTCATAGGCCTTCCCTGGGTTTCCTCTCATCAACATATGTATCGACCACGGGCCTTTCAGCTGCTTCCCCCTTAAGATCTCCTCCAGGATCGTTAATGCCAAAACCCCAAGCCAGTCCCAGCGATAAGTTGGAGGCTTAGCAGAGTCCAAAAGCACATTCTTTCCTCAGCCTCCTCCCTCCTTATCTCTTTCCTCCCTCCCCCAAAACCACATTTAGATAAAAGTTATTGGAACAATAAAATCCATAACTTAAACACAAGCACAGGAGGAATGGAAGGAGGGTCTCTGCTCCGTGCCCTGGAGAGCAGACCTGCCAGAACAGAAAAACAACAGAGGAGAGCTCATGATCCCCTCTGAAATAAAACCTAGTGCAGGACCTCAGATCGCTGCGGGGAGAGACAGCAGCACACATGCTCTCCTGTAGTCCCACCACAAATCCTGCACGGACTCACTCACCTTTTAAAAACTGATCACTCATCAATTTGGAGTGATTTCCTACTGCTTCACCTCCCTGGTGTGAGTTGATTTAAGCACATGGGTACATAAGCTGCACCATTTTCCCCCAAGCTGCTCCTCTTGCATGTTCATTTTGTGGATTTTTTTTTAACCCAAAGTAGATGCTGCAAGTACCTGAAGCCTGGGTTCCCCACGCATCATATCCTGCACCCTAGAAAGAGCAACAACAGCTCAATAGGATGCACATTTTCTTTAGCATCGATCAGCCTTTCCACGCAGGCAAACCCAGCGGCTGGCGCTGCTCCAGCTGGATTGTGCACAGGGCTGTGGTCCAGCACATCCATCCCACTCCCCTCCAATATTTGGTGGCAATATGCTTTCAGCCACCACTGCAGGCTCCCGGGATCCAGGGACCAGGCATCTGCTGTGTCTGCAAGGGCAGAACTACTGCTGCCAGGGCAGGTGAATGCCTGCAGAGCTGCCTTCATCACGAGCAGCACGTGCTGCTGCCTCCCACCATACCAGTGGATGTTCTGCAAGTCACTTTGGTTCACTTACCCAGGGATAACCGTTGTTTTGTCCCATAGCAACATGGCTCAGCAGTTGAGCACTCAGAGGTCCACAGAGAAAAAGCATTTCCTAAAGACAAAGTAGCTGCTTCTTTAACATGCCACAGAGCAGCATTCGCAAACCTCAGACCTGTGGGAACAGGGATGTGAACCCCATTAGCACAGTTCACCCCAGTGCTTCCAGTGGGTGACGCTTCCACAGCTCCCAGTCCAAACTGGGGCTACACCTAGGCATGTCCCTGCCCACACACACCTTACCACAGCAACTCATTTCACTTAAATTTAGAGTGTGACACACCAAAACATGCCTTCTAGGAGGATGGCTTCGGTTTTAAAGGGAAGTAAGAGGCAGGAGGCAACAAGAGAGACCCAGTTCAAAATCAGTTTCACTCTTTATTTGAAGTTTTACATGCCACCAGCGTACATGAAAGTTGCACATTCAGAATTCGACTCACTACTAGAACAAAGGGCCAGATGCAAACACAAATGTCAAACGAGTGCACAGATGGAGGAGCCCGAACCGAGGAGCTTGTCGGTATTTGCAACCAGGCTGCACCGCATCCTGATGGCACTTGAGGTGTCAGAGGCGAACCCGCAGTTCTGAGGGTCACCTCCCTTTGCCACCTCCAGGTTGCTGGCTGTGACTTTTCTCCTAAAGTAGCACCGTTCTCTTTCAACAAGCTAAACAAACGGTTTTGGTAACATCTCTACCAGAACCAAGGGTGTTTGGAGATCAACTGCCCATTTAATGCTTTTCTGAATTCCCCTTTCTATCAATGCCAACAGTTTTTACAATAAGAAACAATTTCCACCCGCTGTTTATAGGGAGAGACGACAAAAATAGGGACTCTTACACTGACATTTTATTTTCAAAGAAAGTTTTGATAGAAAAACATTTTCCCCAGCAGCCTTGGGCAGGGAGTTGCAGCTTCCACTTCAAAGGACAAACTTCAAAAACAAATCCAGTGTCCTAATGGTTTTGTGCTACATTACTTAATTGTCATACAGCTAATTAGCAATGCCTGATTTCACATTCTCTGTACATAGATGAAATTCACAAAAGAAGGGGCTACTTAAAACAATAAATAAAACAAGGCACCAGGCAGCCAGACTCCGACAACATTAACATAAAACGTTACACTTTACTATGTAAAAAACTGAAATAAAAACCCCATCGTGATTAAACCTATATTGATCCATCTTCCTTCAGATCTGTGAGCTTTGAATCTCTCTGCAAGGAAGGGGGGAGAATGCAACGCAGGAAGCAGGGGCTTAGAGTGTGCATCTATGTATTTTACCAGCGTGCAGCAGAGATCTTTAAAATTCTAATTATTTCCCTATCACCAAGTAAGATCGGGATCAATAGATGGTACAAACTGACCCCTTTCCTCGAGTGTCAGGGGGAAATTAAAAAAAAAAGAAAAGGGAGGGCGAAACAAGAGCGTCAGAGGTCAATGCCACAAAACAATAGATATTGATGTCTCCATTCATTTCAAACAGCGGAAAGGTCAATGCCTCCCTTGCTTCATGTTTTATGGCTGAAATCCTGCTGCTAACAGCAACAATGTTAGTAGTCAGACCTCATCCATCCTTTTTTATTATTATGATTATTTCTAACCAGGTTAGCCATTTTGAAAATTTGACGAAAGCTGGGAAGTAGCAGTGGGGGGCAGGGTAGGAGGAGAAGAGGGGAACCTGCCCTGGAAATTAATGGAAGGGATGGTTTCCATTAGTTTTCGAGCCTGCCTGTCCCCCCACCTGTGCTCCAGTTTGTCCCTCGCTGCCCCCTAAAAAATGAAAAGGGCCTGAGGCAACATCTCTTCACTATTAATCATTATTCCCTGTACAACATCCCAATTGGTTTCTATGGAAATGATTCTCCTGCTAGAGTACCCCGGCTGCCTGCGCATCTAATCAAAGAGGCAGGAGAGCTGCAGTGGAAGGAGATTTGCCTCTGCAACACCCCGCCTGGCTCGCCTGGCTGCCGGCACGGGGCTCCCTGCAGACAGGGGAGAGGAGCTTCGGCTGGACACTCTCCGCTGGGACCAGCCAAGGGGGAATTGCATCTCCCTTAAGCAGCCGAAACAACCGTTCCGCACCAGTTAACTCCACAAACAGAACAGCCCCACATTTCTGCAGCCACAGGGGGATATCCCATCCTCAAAAAGGGCTGCTGGGGGAAAAGCACCCAGCACCCCACAACGCACAGTCCCGTTCCTGTACGTCACCCCAGGACCTTCATGCCTCTGAAGATCAGCAAGGCAAAGGGACAGATCCTGCTCTGCTCCCCTGGGAGTCTCACATGCCTCAGCAGAGGAGGAGGTAGTCATGCGAATTAAAGCGAGCAGGGTCGCTGCTCTGCTACCCGTCAGCCTGCATTAGCAGCCCCAGCCCTGCCCTCTGCTCCCAAGGGAGCAGCACCTCACCCGGAGGGGAGAACATTCTGCACCCCTGCAAGGTCCCTTGTGTGGGGCGGGTGAGCCTCCTCCCCTTTCACAAGTGGGGAAACCAAGTCTCACAGTGTGTGTCTGGCTTCCAGTTTGAGGTCCATGGCACAGTCCTGCCCCCTCTCACTCCCATCTCTTCTTCTCCTGCCAAACCACCTCCCCAGCAGACAAGCGACCACCGCCCAAGCTCTCCTGAAGGGAGAGGCTTTGCCACGCAGCCCCCTTTCCAAACTGAGCAGTGGACACACTGCTGTTTTCTAAAGAGACCATGAAATCAGCTTTGCAAAACAGCTGAGAAAGCAATCCTTTAACCTACAGCCCTAAGAAACCTACAAAAACGCTGACGACTTCACCCCACCTAATTCCCCACACCAAAACCACTGTCACTCCAGGTCTAGACCCTTCCAGCCTGCAGGAACCAAATGTCACTTTGCTAAACAAGACTTTGGACATTAGCAGAGCAGCAAACAACTTCTGATTTTACACACTAATGGCACTTTGTCCCAGAATATGCTTCTCCCAGAGAAGCGCAGACACCTCGTTGGTAGTCAAAGCAAAGATTTCTTCTGCAGTCCCCAAAGATGGGAGGTCTGATTTGGAGCGCAGCAAGAAACACGGCAGCAGGGACTGGGAATCCTGCAGAAGCACTCCCTGCGAGAAGGGCACCGACTGTAATTGAATTCATTTATTTTAGACTATGGACAGTGGCATCAGCAGGCTCAGAGATCACCCTATTAGATGCTCACAGATAGCGGGAGGGAGTTTTCTGGAGAGATGGGGACAGAGACCAGAGAAAAGGGGGAATTTCAGATTAAATAAGAGCTAGGAACAAAACACCCATCTCTCTGTTCTCTTCTCCTCCTCTAACACTGCACGCTAGAGTCTCAGCACTGAGTGGGCTCCGAGTCCCATATATTGCTCTGCTCAGAACATATGGTGCTATGTTTAATAGCCCGGCTCTGCCAATTGGGGACTATTAGGGTGGGTTCTTTTCCCAGTGTAAATGTTGCAGAATATAAATTGTAATTAACACCGATGCCAAAATAGCACTTAGAGAAAATAAGCACATTATTAACATCTGGTGAATCCTGCCTGGAGTGCAGAAGCAGCGGAAATTCTCACTCACCATAAGAGGATTTGTAGTAGAGATATCAAGCATTGGCCCAGAGTTGGGGAGTTGGGGGTGGAAGGAGTTTTTAGTTCTTTATCACTATTTGTGGTGCTATCTTTATTACCTGTGGGTGACCTTTCCTAGCCCCGATTATAACTGGCAACATTTGCATCAGGACTTCTGACCTGCTTGCATGAATACAGATGTCTAAACATCATACTCCAGGCAACAGAATAATGGCGTTATAAAACATGCCTGATTGCCTACCCTGATCTAGCAAGACACGAGGCAGATGGGTATCGCTTTGCCAACCAAAAGGTACAGCTTGTTTCATCAGGTTACTCTAACCTCCAAGACCAAAGGGTTAACACCACCATTAAGCAACAGGCATTTTCACATACTGCTGTACCCCAACCCAGGTTTTCCAGTGGGACAGGAACAGGATAGCTGGTGGTTCTGCCAAACTCTTGCTGGTGCCACAGCCTCTAGATGGAGGGGAAATCCTGGCTGAGGGTGGGAATGGCCTCGCTCCTGCAGCACATAACAAAAGAGGTCCCCTTAGGCATTAGAGAGCTGGTTCCATACCCTCAGTCTTCCCTCTGCACTTCCTTGAGGCACAAGGAGGAGAAAGCAGCTTTACTAATGCTTCAAGCACAGAGGAGAAAGCAGCTCTGCAAACTCCCTGCCTAACTCCCAGACAAAAACTAGGCAGAGCTGAAGCAGCCTGAACTGGACAGAGCAGTGGCTCGTGTTCCTGCCAAAAAGTGTATCTGATTTGCTGAGGGAGAAGGAGAGAAGAAAGCTGTTGGAGAGAGAGAGAGAGAGAGAGGGATTCAAACAGGTGAATAATATGACAAGAGGTAGAAAGAATGACCTCGTTGGGACAGCAGGAGAGAAAACAGTGGCATGATGCCAAGAACAGGGCACCAGCTCCTCACACTCACCGGCATGTCACGGTGTCTAACCTGAGGCAGAGTCTCAAATACTTCAGGAGCGATCGCAGCTCAGCTGCAGCCGTTCCCGGAGGAGCACGAGCTGGCCTCACCACCTTGACACCAACTGCAAACCAGAGACGGCTGCTGGCACCCTGGCCTGAGGGGGGAAGAGATAGAAACTCAGGGCAGACAGCAAACACATGCAGAGGTTAGTTTTAGCAACGCTAGTAGAAGACTAACATTAACCTGCTCGTTAACACCGTAACCTATCTGAGCACAAAGGTTACCGCAGTCTGGTTCAAGATTTACACCAGCAAGACAGATTTCCAGGCAGGTGCACACCAGATCGATGGGAAAATAAGGATGGAAAGTCCTCCGAAGCTGTGAGATGCATTTTGGTCTCAAAACTATCCCATCAGACCAAGCTTCCTATGAACCATTGACGGCAGAACACCATTTGCCTCTTGTGTAGAAAATGCTGACAAGGAGGTGGGGACATCATCTTTGGACAACACTGGATCTCCCTAGAAAAACACTGCTCAACACATCAGGGAGCATTTGGATGGAGAAATTAGACTGTTCTGGTTGATAGCTGTTTTGCAGAAGACAGACCCAGTGTGCTACCACAAAATACTCCAGCAGAAGGGAAATCCGACTGCCGCCCAGAAACGTAGCTCCAGGAGTACGTTGCTTGGCTTTTGGTACAGCTGTCTGATGCTTTCAAAAGTGCTCAGTAAATAAGGCAATATGAAAGTGATCCAGACCACTACTAATGCCTGAGGAAGTTCTGTGGAGCAGAGAAGCTGACTGAAATCACACTGTGAAAATACTTCATAACATCTCTAAAATTAGCATGAGCTCAAGGCATGGGATCTAAGGACAGAACTGGAACACTACATTCCCATCTACACTGCAAGACAGACTCCATTTAAATCAGACCAGAGTCTCAACTTATTCACTGCAGGCACCATCTACCCTAGGACAAGGATTTCCAAAAGAGCTGAGAACTTCTTCCACCAGACTGATGGAAAAAGCATCAGCAAGAACATACCATGGTCAAGGTGCTAATGACCTTAATTTGTTATTCAAATATAAAAAAAGAGTCCTTGTGGTACTTCTCACTCAAAAAAAACTTTTAAATATCTGTGATTGTATGTGTGTGACGACAAATGCCTATCTGTAACATAGAAAAGATGTGATGCACTTCAACTGAGCAACACATTTTTGTGCCTCTTAACTGGCTTAGGCTTTCTACTTTGCCGAAAATAGACTGAAGCAAAGAATGATTTCCACCAATATCACAAAGCACACTGCCAAAGTACACAGGGACCCTTAGGAAATACACCAGGCGACACAGGGGGAAGAGCATCGTTAATTCAGTTTCTCTTACCTTTAACTTCAGTAAAATAACAAAACAATTCATATTAACCGCAAGGAAATACTCATCAGATTCCAGAAACCTTTGAGATAGGATTTTTCAGATGCAGCAATATCCAATAGATGTTTCCCCACTGCAGAGGGCCATCTTTTTTTAATTTTGCAATTGCACCTATTTAAAGTGATTGTACAGCATCCAGTGAGGTGGCCAGGAGCTGAAGATAGGGAATCCAGGCCAAGAAGAAGCTATTTCATGTGTTCACGCTGACTGTCCTCTCCATGCTGTGACAGTCACCACCATAAGTTGGGAGGTTCCTCTGCCACTCTGCTTTTAAACAAGGTAATTTCATCCAAGTGCCGCATGGGGACATCTCTGATGACCTCTGTCAAGTCCTCATGAAGCAGAGGGAAAATGACGACATTTAATGCAGGGCGGTCCGCCTGGAAACTAAATCAGACACAGGTTATTAGCTGAGGAAAAATACAAATTCTCTGGTGCAGGAGCATGGGAATGCATGGATATAGATCATGCAGCAGTGGGGGCAAGGCTTGTTCAGGGGAGACAGGAGGGGCAGCTGGAAGTCAAGGCTTGCCACTCTCCTCTTTATGTGTCCGCAGGGAGTGCAGGTTGGGCTTGCACCCCTTTCCAGCGAGTCTGTTAAGTTGACAAACTCAAATTGGGCCTAATATGGAGAGGGAAGAAGTTTTACAAAATTAATAAATCACAATATATAGGTATTTTTAGAGGATCAGAGATCCTCAGAGCTCTGCCCAAGCTGGGCAAGGTGCTCAGAGATAACAATTTAAACCACCTACAAACCAGCAGCAAGTTGCAGAGCCATTAAGAAAATCAGGCCAGAGCAGTGCCAGGCATTCCCTCGGGGCTGAGCCTGGGATTATCACTTCAGGCTGGGTTGTTCCGCATGCAGAGTCTACACTCTGCAATTAGAGCACAGGCAAGTTTAGAAAACTCAGATCTACAGATAAGCACTGAAGTGTGTGAGCACACACACATATGCACTGAAGCCTCCTTTTTAATTCAAGTTGCAGAAAACCTGTCTTGGCACGGCAGGAATTTGCCTTAACAGAAAACGGCGCAAGCATCTCCGTTTGCCACTTGAATTTTGGGTTCCAGTTTCTGAATCTAGAACCTCAATCTTTTGGTTCCCCTCTTAGAGAAATTCGCATTCTCCTCCTGCCCTCCCAGCTTTTCCTGCCAACATCACACCACTGGGTCTGCCTTCTAGGACACATCCCAGACCTTGCAAGCTAGAAGCCTGATCTGACACCATGAGAGGAGCAGCAGAGTTATAATTACAGAGCATAGGAAGAGAATAGCCAAAGTTAAAGCCACTTATACAATGTAAAAAGAATCACGATTATTACTGAATTTGGGCTGTATATTGCAGCTATGTTCTGTGGGAGAGGAAATGTTGGAGAGTTTAAAGCTATTGACTGGCAGAGGAGCAATGCTAGTGTGCTACCTTGCTGCCACCCAATATAATACAGCTTCCAGTTTGGATCAGTTCCAGCTGTCAGACCCCAATTTGCTAACCACGTTGGGAAGGACACAAGTTTTCTTTTAGAAGGTCGGTATCATTTAAGGTTACTGAAAGCAAGGAAACCTGTTCCACCTTTATAAAGAAAACGTTGCTGTAGAGTTTTTAGGAGCCATGCAGCTATAATGAATAATGAATGTATGGTACTTTGTGTAGTGTTTAGCTCAGCCTGAGAAAGAGAAAATAATGGAAGTCTCTTCTTTCTGCCTGTGTGTTCAAACGAAGGAAAATCAAAGCTGTTATACCAAAGCTATATATCAGCTAACATATTTTAGGAACTGTGGAATGATCATAATTACAAAAAAGTCCTCCAGAGAGAAATTATGACTCATAGTTTATGTTCTCTTTAGTGTTGCTATGGAAAAAGAGGTTAGTGCCAATGGTCATACAGCAATATTAATCTCTGATCTGAAAGAAAAATAAATAACAATCTCTAGCTTAACCCAGAGCAGATTTATTCTCCGTTACTGTGGCACACTCCATTAAAGGGGATAACCATGTAAGAAAAATTAAAGATGACATTGATTATCAGTTCTCAACATGCAGTTAGAAAGAGTTCCTTATTTGAATTAGTGTACACTTCAGACTCCTGCAAATGACTTGGTGGAGTGAGAGGAAAGGAAAAAAGGCATTTTGATCAAAAGGAGGGCGGGAAAGATCAGCCACCACCACCAGCTGCAAGTATGCTGATTAGAATTTCTTTATGCATGCAATTAGACTCAGCCTGGGGTTGATGCTGG